AGCACGTCTCCTCTGCCAGCACAGGTGGGACAGGCCAGTCCCAGTGCAATGAGATGGATGGTTGCTTAAGTAGCTTTGCACTTTACCATAAATATGAGCCATGGTGGTGCAGTGGTTAGAATGCAGTACTACAGACTACTTCTGCTGATTACGGCCAGCAGTTCGGCAGTTCAAGTCTCACTGACTCAAGGTTGACTCAGCCTTCCATCTTTCCGAAGTTGGTAAAATGAGGACCCAGATTGTTGAGGGCAATATGCTGCACTGTGAAGTGGTGTATAAGTTTAAGTGCTATTGCTATGATCTTATATTGAGAAAATGTCAAAAATAGTCTAAAATAACTATTTTTTTAAAAAAATGTAAATACATTGTTTTTAACATTTTAGCTGTAAATTATAAATTATCTTAAATAACCATTGGTTTAAGATAAATAATCTGCATATAACAAAACATTACATATCAATAAAACTGAAAGCGTTTCAAAGCAGACAGAAAGCCTCCATCTTCACACAATGCATGATTCATTGATCAAATCAATTTCCATGAAATCTTTCAAAGGCCAATGGCTAGTTTGGTATAGAATGGAAGGATATGAGGTGAAATAGATCACAGATGAGTCATTTGTGCAATAGCTGCTAGCAAGGGTGGTCCTACACTAACTACGAGCAGCTGTTGCCCTAAGCCAGTGGTTCCCAAACTTGGCAACTTTAAGACTTGTGGACTTCAACTCCCAGAATTCTCCAGCCAGCAGAGCCTTAAAGTCTTAAAGTTGCCAAGTTTGGGAACCACTGCCCTAAGCTAACCATGCAGTTGGTGCCCCACCCCAAACTTCAAGAGTGCCTTCTTTTCCTTGAAATTTGGTGCTCTGCTGAACCTGGAAGCCTAGGTGAATGGATGTGACAATGCCTAGCTACTAGTCAAAATGAATGTGGAACTTTTCCTTTCAAAGGCAATCTTTCACTGAACATCACTTATTGAAAAGCAGAAGAGGGAAATATTCGTATTGGCTCCTAGAATTATTTTGCCTGAGACTAAGCAGCAGTGTGGTGCCTCCATTACATACCAAAGTGAATGTCCATCAAAGCCATTCATGTGTGCCATTATTCTAGCGCTTTCTTTCTTTTGCCTGCTGTGCCCCCCTTCCCTTTCTCCTCTCCCCCCCACTGGGAGCCCCATCCTGCTCCCCTCTCTCCTCTCCCCTTTCTTCGCTGGCTGCTGCCTCGCCCCCCGCCTCCTCCGTCCCCACCATTGTGTCCGACAGAGGCTTCTCACGTCTATGGTGGACATAAATGCGAGACGCCTCTGTCGTTGACAGACGTGGGACGCTGCTTCTCGCTGCCGCCACGCTCTTGCCTCACTAACCGTAAACTTCACCGCACGTCACTGCAATAGACATTCAGTAGTCAAAGACACAAGGAACAGATTTTCCCCAAAGCAGGGAGTGTAATTTTAATCCTGTATATCTTTTTCCTTGGCAATCAGAATTATGCAAAATAATAGCATGCAAATTGCTTGATTAGCCTATTTTTCATTGGTTGCCATCATCCTGTCCTTTAGCTAACCTCTTTTTGTTTGAACCTGCTCTTCTCTGTACAATTTGACACTCCTGATAGATACCGGATGTGATTCTACTGCCTGTCAATCGCAGGATACAGAAAACCTGAGTGACTGGCACAAGTGTGGCATGCTTCATTCTGAAGTAGTCACCTCACTTGAACTTCGTCCATTGAAATATGGGGGTGGAGTACCTCTTCCATTTAAATAGTAACCAATGCCAAACTTACAAATCCTTCACAGTTTTTGCTCAGGTTCTGTTCAGAGTAAATGTGCATAAAATTTGCTCCTTTTGCACTCATTATTTAAATCAGTGAACTAAAATAATAAGATGAAATAAAAAGATTATTTAAATAATAAGATGAAATAAAAAGATTTTTAGCAATGCATTTTTTTAGCCTGTAGGCTGTTTTGTGGCAGATGTGTCTAACTAGTGTCTTTTATCAGTTTCCTTCTATTAACTGTCAGGTTACTGTAAGATAAATAGAATTTCTGTCACTTGCACTTTCTTTGCTTCCTCTAATGGGAATAGAGATGGGAAAATTGGAAAGGGATAAGGGGAATGAGAACTACCTTTAAATAAAAATATGAATGCATGCTGAACAATCTTCCAGAATCTTATTTAAGAAAAAAAGGGGTTTTTTTCTTCTTAGTGTCATTCTCTCTTTCCTCATCTTGTCCCTAAATGGCCCACGCTGAAAAAAAAATCTGCTAGCAGTTGCTCAACTGGAATGAGGACAAGTTGTTTTCAGTGCCCCCCTTCCAAATGCTTGTGTTGTAAGTTCTGTCATGACTAGCCTCTGGAGACGTATCTGAACTAAATTTCGGACGCTTCTCTCAGCATGCCACTTTTCTCTTCGGTCCTATCAAGAACATTGCAAATCCAGCAGGAGCCAGAAACTGATAACAGTAACCTAAGGGCAGATGCATCCTCTTTCTCCTGCACATAGAAAAAAAGTCTTATTCATCTCAGATGTTGCAGTGGCCAGGGAGTCAAATCCCATTTCAAGTTTAAGGAATGGTGATGAATGAGATAAGACAGAGCACTGATGATGAGCCACAGATGAACCTTGTATGGTCATCACTTAGCAAAAGGCAGTAGAGACAAAGGGTGGGTTGCTTAGATAGAAGAATTGGGTTTTCAGTGAGCTTACAGACCAGATAGGAAAGTGGAAAGTCCACAAGGTAGATTGAGTTGCAGGTTGGAGACTTCCCAGTCCTGCGCAAAATTGTCTTTGGTATGGGGCTGAAAGGACATGATATGCTAAACCTAAGCAACCAAATCCTGTTTGTTAGAGTGGTTCTTCAACATGTTATCTTGAGCTTTACAAGCAAAGTTGGAATATACATGCAATGCAAAGAAAAAGCTTCAGCATACCATTTTGGAACAATATTCACAAGCAGCTGCCAAGGGAAGTGTGAGCATATTTTAAAGTTGAAAAAGACAGCTACTATTAATTACACCTCCTACAGCTTTCCCATCAGCTGCTGAAAAATCTCCTTAGCTAACCTGAGAGTTTGATTTTCTCTCCTTCGCGTATAGCTTCAGGCACCAGATCTAATGAGGTTTTTTTTAATCACTCTTTTGCACTATTAATCAAAACCACATGTATTGCAACAACTTGCCATTTTTCAATTTTAAATATTGCTAAAAGCTTTACTTACTGGGTTCTACATTTGGTTTTGTACCCTTTGTTTTACAACATTCAGTGACATCTATTTCTTTACAGATCCACTTTAAGCAACTTCTTTGTACTTTTAAATATTTTCTCCTTCTTTTTAATTTGTGTTGTCAGTTATCATCTTTCCTTTGCCAATGAGTTATGAGTTATGAGTTATGAAAGTTTATTTATATGCCGCCCTTTTCCCTGGGGGGACTCAGGGCGGCTTACAACTCAACTACTATATCTCATTAATTTTTTTAATCCTATTCCCCCGTTTTTCTGATATCTGCCGCTTCTTCCCCTTCTTTCCTTAAAGCACATTTTAAAATATGCTCTTTGATATCTGGTTTCTTCTGTTTCTCTCGCTCTCTTTCCATATGGTCTTGCCAGTGCATATATGTATTTCCTTATGGTCACTTTTTTTTCTTTTCTGAACTTTTATTATTTGTACTCCTTCAGTTGGTTTTAGTTTTGTTAAAAACCCAGAGTTGCTTGGCAAGTGAACAACAATATGAATGAAATTTAAAAAAACTTTTGGTGAAAATGTATTTTTATTTAATCAGTCTATAACAGTGTTTCTCAACCTTGGCAACTTGAAGATGTCCGGATTTCAACTCCCAGAATTCCCCAGCCAGCATTCGCTGGCTGGGGAATTCTGGGAGT